AATAAACAGATATCAATCTAACAAACAAAATGCTTTATTTCAGGCAATAACTTCAAAAATTCTCCCTTCATTGGTGGGCTATAGCATTAATGATGAATACATCATTTTTTATAGACATACAATGTGTTTAGACCTTTATATATCAAAATATTTATTTTCCTGAAGATTTCAACAACTTTCCCTTAATCACCTAGGTACACCACATCCAAAACTGTTGACAAAACTGGTGTCTTTTAACCCACTTTTGTGTTCTAAGTATCTAGTTTTTGAGTCACCCTTGTAATGGAGGTGGAGCCTGCTGAAATTCACTCATAAAAATGAAAGAAATTTAACAACTAAAAGTTGGTGTATGGTTTCTAATTTTTCTCAATAGTTTTGGACAGGTTATACCTTTGTGTTTTAGAAAAATTGTAGAATTTACCCGGAAAATTAATCTTTATGCTATATATAGGTCTTAGGTGCATTGTATGCCTTTAAAGATATATTGAAATATGCATTTCTTTTTTACATTGTGCATATCACTGTCACTGGTTAAACAAAATCTCTAGTAACCTTCGCATCCACCATTCATATCTATATTTTTTCTATGTATTTTTTCCTTTGTGTGAAATGAAATTGCTTAGGCCTTTTTCATTCTCCACTTTGTTACCTGAGAAAGATTAAGCATGCACAATTAAAACAAACACAATCTCTATATAATCCAATTTTAAACATATGCATAACACCTGAGCTGAAAATGCACTTAACAAATATTTAATTTGAAGATAGAGTATCAAAAGAAAACAAACAAAAATGAACAACTTAACAGTATTACTGATAAGTAGAAGCTGTGTCATGGAAAACAAATCTACGTAAGTTGGGAAGACACCACAGTAGTGCCATGTTACCATGTTACCTCACTGGAGGGCATTTGTGTTTAATAAATTGTCCCGACACATTGAGGAAACAATATTTACTGAAAACTTCAAATATTGCCAATATAAAAAAGAATGGAGAAGTGAGTCTTCTCTGGTTTATGAGTAAAACACACTTTCATCATATTTTCACAAATAGTGTTTTTCTTGTTAAGCATTTGAGCATTTGGAGAAGTGGATAAAAATGTTCCTGACGATATTAAAATAGTTAAGACAATACTATCTATACTTATCTAGGTCATTTCTATATCTCTTTCTCATGAGATAACAACTCTGTTCATAAAAGAAGAATGAAAAACCTGTGCTTAATCCTGCTTTCAACAAACTGGGAGTGATTCCCTTGTAAAAACCACCTAATTTTTCTTCTTTCCAAATCAACTTTATACAATGGCGCAAGCCATTATAGATCCTATGTTCACCAAATGTTTTTCTTGCTTCTTCAAAACCCTGGACCTGCAGTCTTTTCTTGAGAACATCCAAGGGGTATACAACTGCCTTAGAACAGGTTCCTGCACAGAAACCACAAGTCATGCTATCCATTGCACCTATTAACATAAAAAATAAAATAAATCAGTTTCAAGCACATCGATCTCTCTACATATATTTATGAATTTCCCAAGGCTAAACTTAAAGCACATAGACTGAATGTGAATGGACAGATAAAACTATTTTACTTTATTATGGCCTGAATGAATAAATTTGAGCTAAATGCTTTTTTTTTCTTTCACCAGGGGCAGATTGAGGTCATCTCCTAGGCCTTCTGGAACTCGGTCAGATTTTCAAGTTTATATAATATAATATAATATATATAATATATTTATTTCAAGTCTAAAATCCATAAAATGTTCAATAGACTGTACAACATAAAATACAAAGAAGTTTATAGATAAAAATGGTTAAGATATATTTTATATAAATAAGAGCTAAACTAACTTAATTGTAATAAACAGTAATTAAAAGTAAAAAATCCAAGGTTTAAGATTGTAAAATTTAAGATTCATGAANTAGATTTGAATGAGTAAAGGGTACTGTGGATTATTGCATATGAGGGCCATGTTATTTGTGAAATTCAATTAATTTTATTAAACCGCTGACACTCCGATTTGGATACTTTTCTTAAACTGAGGTAAACGATGCCCGTTACAAGTCCCATCTTAATCATCCATCTAACTGGAACTTCCTTTACCTCTTAATTATAATATATATAATATAATATATTTATTTCAAGTCTAAAATCCATAAAATGTTCAATAGACTGTACAACATAGAATACAAAGAAGTTTATAGATAAAAATGATTAAGATATATTTTATATAAATAAGAGCTAAACTAACTTAATTGTAATAAACAGTAATTAAAAGTAAAAAATCCAAGGTTTCTTTAAAATTGTAAAATTTATGATTCATGAATAAAATGTCTTAAAAATATGAGTTTTAAATTCCTTTTTAAAAGATTCTTGTGATTCTATTTGTCTAATAAAAATTGGCAACTTATTCCACTCTACTGGTGCAGCTACACAAAATGATATGTCACCATACGATTTTAACCTTGATTTTGGAACTTTCAGTAAAAGTTTGTCACCAGACCTCAGGGATCTTTGAGGGCTATAATGTTTGACTAGATCAGTTATATATGGTGGAGCTAGATTATAAAAAGCAGCATGTGTAAAAACTAAAACCTTAAATAAAATTCTGGCCCTAACTGGTAACCAGTGCAGATGCTTTAAAATTGGAGTGATATGGCAATCCCTAGGCTGTAGCATTAAAAGCCGTGCTGAGATATTCTGGATGCGTTGTAATCTTTTGATCTTATCATCTGGACATCCATATAATATAGAATTGCAATAGTCTAGCCTGGAAGTTACCAATGAGTGTATAACAGTAGCAGCAGATGATTGAGTCAGATGTTTCCTTATGGTGCTAATATTCCGAATGTTGAATAAACAAGACCTTGTGATGTTGGAGATCTGTTTGTCCATTGAAAGTGTAGAATCAAAGTATACTCCTAAATTTTTTACATGGGGGGAGGAAAATGCCATACTAGCTCCAATTTTAAGTTGCAAGTTATGAGCAAGGCCCTTGTTGTGGGGTTGAGTAATGACTAAAAATTCTGTTTTTCCATCATTTATCTTCAATTTGTTTGAAATGAGCCGACCTCTGAGGTCTGATATGCAATCAACAATTGTGTTCACAGACAATGCTGGATCATGGATGTTACAAGATGTGTGCAACTGGGTATCATCGGCATAAAAGTGGTAACCTATCTTATGATAACGCAGACTTGCTCCAAGGGGTAACGTGTAAACACAAAACTTAAGCGGGCCAAGCACGCTCCCCTGAGGAACACCAAATAAAAGCTGTGAGAGTTCAGAAAGCACTCCATTTATATTAACTTGATGCATTCTCCCAACAAGATAGGATCGTAAAAGATCTAAGGCCTTTTCTCAAACCCCTACACTCTGCTCTAGAAATGTCAATAAAATATTATCGTCTACTGTGTCAAACGCAGCAGACAAATCTAACAGTACCAATAACATAGCAGAATGTTTGTCAACACCACTTAACAAATCATTTTTAATTCTCAAAAGTGCAGATTCTGTGCTATGATTGAATTTGTAGGCTGACTGCATTTCCTCAACAAGATTGTTTGCTTCTAAATGCTTAAATAGTCTAACTGCTATAACCCTTTCTACTACCTTAGATAAAAATGACAGGATACAGGACGATAGTGTACCAAAAGATCCGTGTCAAGGTTGTCCTTTTTGAGTAGTGGGCGAATTATTGCAGATTTAAACTTTTTTGGAAAAACACCCACAGTGAAACATTTGTTGATAATTTCCACAATCAAAGTTATTACAGCCGGAAGAATCTGAACCAATAATGATGATGGGGTCGGGTCTAACATGTATGATGTCTTTTTGGAACTGGTTATTATCTTTGATACTTCACAAGTGGTTGTTGGTTCAAATATAGTGATGAGTGACTTCGGTTCTTGTAAAAGTTCTGACAAAGGTGGATGCGATGGTGTAGTCACAGTCTTTTCTAATTCAGAAAGTTCAGCGTTGATATTACTGACTTTAGACACAAAAAAGTCACTCATGTTATTTGCAAGATCTTTCACTGAATCTGTTTTGGGGTACTTAGAGCAATTAGTTTTTCCCAGAATAGTGTTAACAGTTCTAAATAAAGCCTTGGTATCACCATCACATTCTTGTATCATGTTAGAATAATACGTTTCTTTAGCTTGACAGATTAATTTGTTTACATGACAACATGCTTCTTTATAGATCTGATGATGAACAGTTAATTTACTACCTCGCCACTTCCTCTCCGCTTTCCTTCTATCTCTCTTTGCCTCCAGAATGTGATCATTCATCCAAGGTTGCAGGTCTTTCTTAACAAACGTTTTAGTTTTGACAGGTGCAAGGTTGTCAAGTGCAGTTGTCAATGTCCTGTCATACAGAAGCACACATTCCTCAGGACTCAAATTATCAAAACTTAAATCACCCAGCTGTGATGTAATCTGTCGTTGTAATTCATTTACATCAATGCCCTTGATTTTTCTGAACGAGAC